ATACATTTATATAGCATATTAGAAGGTCATAAGCACTATGGAGGAAAAGCTCAAGTACCATAAGTTGGTTGGGGAGATGGGTGAAGCTGTTTAAGTATGACTCACTGCGAAAGTGACATTTAAACAAAGACTTTAGTGTCCCTTTTCCCTTCTCCCTTTTAAGTCATTTCCCCCCTTGTTGCTGCCTTAAGATTAACATAGGGATGACACCCCTGGATGCTGCCCCGCCTGTCCCTCCTCAACTTCCTAAGACTTCAACAGTTCTAACTTCTAGAAAGGTTGTGGTGACTCTTAATTAAAGGTGTTTTTGAACTTTTATTTCTTCCTGGTACCACTAAAGCATGTACTCATCAGAAAACCAGGCAAAATCACAAGCAAGCTTTTGACGGCAAATTATGGGCATACTGTAGACTAAAGTGGGGGGAGAGGGAGGGGTCTTTGGCTAAACTCTAATTAGCAACAGTAACATTACTTGACAGTTTGGGGCTTACTATTATGCCATTTGTTTGTGAAGCAGTAAAACACAAATCCTCCTGGGAGTTAGCATGGATCTCCAGTAATCATTTGTCTAAGTACATATTTGAGAAAACTCAGCAAATGTGTAAGCATATATTTAGGGATATCTGATACTGCATACAGAGGATCACACTACTCTACAACACCCCACCACCACCACCACCAGAAGAATTTATTCATTTCAAAGTTGGAGACATTTGAGTACAGGCAGTCCTCAGGTTTTGAACGAGATCCTTTCCTAAGTGTCTTTAAGTCGAACTTCTGGTCAGAACAAGTTTGTATGGTTCTTATTTAATGTCAAATGTTCATCTTAGTATAGAGTACATACTTTATCTTTCTATGCATTTAAAGGAGCCCTGGTAGCGCAGTGGTTAAGAGATCCGCTGCTAACCAAAGGTCAGCAGTTCCAATCCACCAGCCACTCCTTGGAAACCCTATGGGGCAGTTCTACTCTGTCCTAAAGAGTCGCTCTGAGTTGGAATTGACTCGATGGCAACAGGTATGCATATAAAACCAAACACTTAAAACATTTCCAAACCACACCACACAAGGTTTTCATGAGTGTCACAAAGTAGCATGTGCGTTTGTTATTACAAACTATTGTATTTAACTCAAATTTTTAATATAATAGGCTTTATGGCAGTCCATTCTTAAGTACAAGTTGTCCATAAGTCAACCATTCGTAACCCGGGGACTGACTGTATTTTAAAAAAAAAACTAAAACCCATACTAGCATGACATAAAATCTTATTCACAGGTGCCTTCTGTAAATGCACCTGGTTAGGCTGAGTTTCTATTAGTAAAATATTGTAGACTGCTAGGTAACAAAGGACATCTCTTTTTAAAAGAACTAGATTCATCAACACTGCCAGTAGATTTTGCCATATTAAGCTTAAATTATGTCCAGCTTTTGATGGGTGGGGGGGTAAAAAGGAGAGAGAAGGGAATGAAGAGGTGGTGAAAGGATTTCCGGCTTCCAGTCAGAGGAGTGAATGTAAAACCTCACTGTGAATTTCCATCACAGCCAAACCATGGCCTAGCGCCCTTAACTTCATTTTACAGATGACATAAACTTGTCTGGCACTGTAAATCTGATCCCATCACCTCAACACCAAAAATGTGTTTCCAAAACAATAATGAGGAAATGGTGATTTAAAGTCATTCACTTGGTTTTAATCAACAATTAGTGAGCTTTGGGTATGTCTGAAGACACCTGGGAAGCAATAAGGTACTGGTCTCTGACCTTTGGGGATTATAACCTTCCAAAAAATGAAAACGGCTTATAAATACATGTAACCCAAATGATGAAAGCTACAATTTTTTTTACTCCTGCTCCAGTTCTCTGGGTAATGTTGCTGTTAAGCACCGCTGAGTCGGTTCCGACATAGTGATCCCATGCACAACGGAATGAAACACTGCCTCATCCCATGCCATCCTCACAATCACTGCTATGTTTGAGCCCATTGTTGCAGTCACTGTGTCAATCCATCTCTTTTTCGCTGGCCTTCTACCTTCCTAAGCATGATGTCCTTCTCCAGGGACTGGTTCCTCCTGATAAAGTACCTGCTTCCAAGGAGCACTCTGGCTGTATTTCTTCCAAGACAGACTCGTTCGTTCTTCTGGCAGTCCATGGTATATTCAATATTCTTCACCAATACCATAATTCAAAGGCATCAATTCTTCTTCGGTCTTCCTTATTCACTGTCCACGTTTCGCATGCATATGAGGCAACTGAAAATATCACAGCTTGGGTCAGGCGCACCTCAGTCCTCAAAGCGACATCTTTGCTTTTCAACACTTTAAAGAGGTCTTCCGTAGCAAATCTGCCCAATGTACTACATTGTTTGATTTCTGCGGCTTCCATGGGTGTTGATTATAAAACCAAGTAAAATGAAATCCCTGACAACGTCAACATTTTCTCTGTTTACTGTGATGCTGCTTAATGGTCTACTTGTGAGGATTTTTGTTTTCTTTATGTTGAAGTGTAATCCGTACTGAAGGCTGTAGTTTTGGATCTTCATCAGGAAATGCTTCGAGTCGTCTTCACTTTTCAGCAAGCAAGGTTGTGTCATCTGCATATCACAGGTTGTTAAAGAGTCTTCCTCCAATCCTGATGCCACATTCTTCTTCATATAATCCAGCTTCTCAGATTATTTGCTCAGCATACAGATTGAATTTAAAAAAAGCAAAACAAACCCATTGCCATCAAGTCGATTCTGACTTATAATAGGCGACCCTACAGGACAGAGCAGAACTGCCCCACGGGGTTTCCAAGGAGCAGCTGGTGGACTCGACCTGCTGACCTTTTAGTCAGCAGCCTAGCTCTTAACCACTGCACCACCAGGGCTCCATAGATTGAATAAATATGGTGAAAAGATAAATCCTGACACACACCTTTCCTGATTTTAAACCACGTAGTATCCCCTTGTTCTGTATGAACTGCCTCTTGGTCTATGTATAGGTTCTGTATGAACACTTAATTGTTCCTTGGGTAATATGATATGCCAAAGTGGCTGGCACCTGTGACACTGTAATTCACTGGAGGGCAGCCCCTCCATCGAGTCATCACTAAAGGTCAGGAAGTAGTAGCAGAAGGAGCAAAGAAAACAGTTCACTCCTGAGCATCTAATTGTCTCAATTTGATGCCTCATCTAAGGTTGAAAAGATACATATGCCTACATTCTTGGAAAGGAGACTTGGCAGCACAGTGGTTAAGTGCTTGGCGGCTAACAGAAAGATAGGCAGTATGAACTCACCAGCTGCTCTGTGCAATAAAAGACCTGTGGATCTGCTCCCAGATTAAGCCTAGGAAACCCTATGGGGCAGTTCTACCCTGTCCTATAGGGTCATTATGAGTCGGAATCGACTCAACAGCAACAGGTTTGGTTTGTTTTGGTTTATATTCTTGGAGGCAGAGGGAAAAGAACTTCCGTGTTCATCAGTTTTTGTACCCCAGCTGATACACAGACTCTGCTCTAATCTGCAATGCTCTGTATTCCTCAATTACATAGTTTTTAACTGACATTCATCAGGGTAGCCATTACTCCCAAGTCTAAGAGTGTTTTATTTACACACTTTGTGTCAGCACCCCACACCTTCTGCTCCACCATATTCAGAATCATTTACATATTAACTAACAATCTCAATATAAACATAAGATTTTACAAGTCAAGTTCCTCGAATCTCTAAAAATTGCCCTCGATAATGGAAACATGTGGATAAGGTACAGTTTTTGGTCACTGTTGCTTAGCCCAAAAATGCTGTCAACCATTTCACTGGTGTCTACTTTATCTACCAGTATAGTATAATTCATGCTACAGTAACCACTTTGTGTACTCAAATGAAGGGAACTGATAATCTTTTGGACTAGATAATGAAAATATTTTTTTAAAATAAATTCTTATTCAACAAAAGTCAACAAACTCCTCCGATTTCAGCAACTCACTCAGACCCTGCAAACCCAGAAATTAAATTTTAGGGTTAAAAACAAAAAACAACTATAAAAATGACCAAACTGTGGACCTTAAAAATGGCTACAAGTGAATTTAGAGAACTTCCAAATCTCAGGGTTTCAATGAGCCTAAACTGAATTAAAACAAAAGTTGTTTTGTATTCTATTAATAGCAGATGATTAAACACATATCTTATTTCAACTGGAATTCATTTAGAAGTACTTAAACTTACCAAACTAGCCATTAATCCTAAATTCATGTCTGTTTCTGGAAAAATCCTCTCATAATAAATACAACTTCCGAGACTGACCATCCACGCATTCCTTAAGGTTAGGTCAATTTTATGAACAACTCCACAAAATAATCGATGTATAAAAGCCAAGCTCACCTCAGAGCCGGTGAGAAATGGGCTACAAGGACAAGAGTTTCCAGCCTCGCTGCCCGACTCGCCCCCACCCGAGAAAAATCCCAGGGTCCAGGGAGCCTCCATGGAGGCTCGCGAGGAGCACGGCTCACCTGACGCTCCTAATTACCTGGGAGTTTCCCCCCTACATTCCTGGGCGCATTATTTTCTCAGGAGAAATTCGAGCCAGTCTTTCTGGCCTCCGAGAGCTTCAGCACGGCAGCCCCGCCAGAGCGGCCACTGACCCCAAGAAGTCGGAGGAGGGGGCGCCCAGGAACCGACCCCAACACCACTGGGTGGGAAACTTGGGGCTACGAGGGCCGCGCCAGGAGGCGCGGGGGAGAGTAGGCATGGCCGCGTAAAGTCCCCTCCTGTCCCCTAAGGTGAAACATCCCGACCTTCCACGACCAGAGCGCGAGCCGCCAGCGGGGCCTCCCCGCCGCAGGTCCCCGAATCGCAAACCCGACGCACTCAAGTTCCGGGGCCTCCCGGCTCCAGGTCCTCGAACTCGACGCCTCCATAGTCCCGGGGCCTCCCCGAACCCCGCACCCGGAGCTCCCACAGTCCCGGGGCCTCCCGGCCCTCGAACCCCGAACCCGGCGACCCCGGCGTCGCAGGCCTCTGCCTACCCGGTAGGTGCTCTCGGTGAGCTGGCTGACCTCCTCTGGGCCCCGCGACATGGCTGCAGCCGCCGAGCCGGCGAGCGCGGGAGGACGCGGCGGAGCCTCGTGGCCGTCCGACTCGGGCGGCGGGAGCGCGGGGGCGCGGCTAAGGGGCCCTCGAGGGTCGGCCGCCTCCACGGCAGTCGGCCGGAGAGTGCTGGCGCGCGCCGCAACCGCCGTCAAAATATTAAAACTTGCTGTGCCGCGACCGCTGCCGCCACCGCCGCCCTCGAAGAGCTGAGGAGAAGCGAACTGACGCCGCGGGGCAGGCAGGGCGGCCCTACCTGAGGAGGGCGGGTCTGGTGGGTGGGCGGGGCCGCGGGCCGGGGTAGGCGGGGCGACGGCGAAGGGGACTGGTGGGTGGGAAGACCCGCACCTGACGCGGTCAGGGGTCCGCGACTGAGACGGAGCAGAGCGGTTGGGGTGAACGGGCGGAGGACGTACGGGCTGGCGTGGGTGGGGCCGGGCCGGTGAGCGGAGAGGCCACCGGCAGGGCGGCCGGGTGGGCGGGGCGGATCCGGCCGGAGTGAGCGGGGGTGCTCAGCTGAGACGGGCGGAACAGAGGAGGGCCGGGCCAGGTAGGAGGGGCGGCCCCGCCTGAGGCGGTCCAGGCGGCCGCGGGACGACCTTTTCTCGGCCCGCCCTCTTGCGGCCCACCCCTAGTTCCCTGCGTTGCCAGGACCCGACCGCAGAGGCGTCTATAGCTGGGGATGCTGACCTACCTGGGCAGGGCACGGACCGAGGGTGGTTAGGCCTCTGTAGTGCTAGAGGCCTCTGTAGTGCTAGAGCCCTCGCGTGTCCCTCACAGTGCTGGCCCCGGAGTCCCCGAGACCCATCCCCTCCGCAGGCTCTCTCCCCCAGCCCTGCCTTTGGGGGACCGCGGGAAGAGGGCCCACGACCCCCGCTCCTCTATTTGATATCCTTGTATTGACATCCCTGTTTGACTCCTCCCTGCCCACCCCTGTTACTGACCCCAAAGCGTGGACTCTCAGAGGTGGAGAAAGGAAGGGGACTGCCCCTTGGAGTTTTGGAAGCTCCTGATATATCAAAAAATCAATAAATGCCAAGGCCTAGTTACGGAAATGGCAGTATATATATATATATATATATTTTTTTTTTTTTTTTGGGTGAGCACAATTTTTTTTTTATTGTACTTCAGGTGAAGGCTTACAGAACAAATAGTTTCTCATGAAACAGTAGTACACATATTGTTTTATGACACTGGTTAACAACCCGACAACATGTCAATCCTCTAACTTCTCAACCTTTTTTTTTTTTGGTGAAAATACACATAGCCAAAGATATACCAGGAAATGGCAGTATATTTTTCAAGTTTACATTAAGAGCTGCCTTTAACCCAAAGCCATACAACCGTGCTATTCACAAGGTCATTATAGGATTTGTAAAACCACGTTGCACTGAGGTGTGGTGGAGGTAGTTCTGACTTTGATCACTCACAGACAGTCTAGTTCCTGTTTGTCTCCGCCCTGCCCAGGATAAGGCCCCTGCCCTCTCTGGGCCTCTCCCAGGGTGTACACCTACAGCTGGGGTGACCAGACCCTGGGACTCCAGAACAGCCTTCTCCCAGTGGGAACCACCATTTAGCCATCTGAGACTTCCACCAAATCAGGGCAGGTGGTCTTACTCTGATTTTTGAGAACTTTTCGGGTGGCAACTACATCTTTTATGAGCTGTTGGGATACAAGGCTTCTAAACTGCTCCTGTGCTAAAGTCCACTGAGAAATGTACACAAAGAAAGGACTGTGTGGTGCAGATGGGAACACCAAGAGCGTTAGAAACACAACTTGGACTCTGGGGCAATCTTACCGGGATTTTCAGCTATAAAATATATTACACTTGGAAACCAAAAGTATTCTTGGATGTTGGAGGGAAATAACATGTCAGCCCTAGGTTTTAGACAGTGGAAGCAGCTGCCTCCTTCTTTAACAGATTTCCAACATTTGGCACATGAGATTTGCCAACTGGGTTTCATTCGACATATGTGAGTGACATTTGAAACCTTATAATTGCCACCGTTATGTATTAGTCTCTTCAAGTATGTCTGTTGCTTTCATTTAAACTTGAAAATCTCTGCCTTAACATTGCAGATCATCTTAGAACTTCCCTCTGTACCTTGTGATAAATGGGGTCATTTCACTCTCTGCTGAAAGGCAGCCAACCAAGGAGTTGGAAAGAGAGCAGAAGCTTAACCTTTCACACCCCACAGCCCAGCAGTGTGGTTCAGAGCTAGCAAAGACAGGGATTAAGAAACTACCCTAAACCCAGCAAATATCTCAGATGGTCTCATTTGATTGCAGGACCAAGTTCATAATTGTATGCAAATCTTCAGGCAGACATCCAATCATATTCAACTTTCCTTCTCTGAAATGATTTCCAGGTTCTGACTATCCTGCCCCTTTAGCAGTCTTTGAGAATGGTCTGTTCTTCGTCTGTACCCACATTAAGAGTAGGGCGGTCTGATCCCCGTTAATTGGCCTAATCTTATTGTTTTCTCCTTCTGTTCTACCTCCTACTTCATTGCATAATGCCTGGGGTCTTAAAACCTTGCAAGCAGCCAACCAAGGTACAACAATTGGTCTCAATTCACCTGGAACAACAGAGGAAGAAGGAGAGTCAGGAATAGGAGGAGGAAATGGAATGTGTGGCTAATTGCCTCCATGAACAACTGCCTCCTCTGCCATGAGACAAGAACTGGATAGTGCCTGGCTGCCATTATGGAGTGTTTTGATCAAAGATTCTATAGAAGAATCCTAATCAAAAGAGGGAAACTATAGAACAGAATTTAAAATTCTCATGGAATCTAGACTTTTGGAGCCATTGAGGCTGAATGAACTCCCAAAACTATTGCCTTGAGAATATCTTTAAACCTTAAACCAAAATTATCTCATGAAGTATTCTTTAAACCAAACAATAGTTTAGTTTAATTGGTGAAGAATGTCTGCCTTGAGCTCCAGGCTCTTTTAAAGAATTATCATTATAGGATCAAACTGACAACAACAACTCTAAAGATTAGATAGGAAACTTAAGGAGCAGTGAGTTTAAGTTAGTGGGGGAGGAACAAATCAGAAAAGGAGGGTGAGAATGGTTACACAACTTTAAGAATGTACATGTAGAAACTGTTGAATGGGTGTATGTTCTCCTGTGTATATTCTCAACAATAACAACAAAATAAAATAACTTATTAAAAAAAAAAAAAGAAGGGCAATCCAGCCCTTGGCTCAGTGCTTGGCACAGAGATGCCTGGTGGGAATTTGTTAGAGGGCAGTGGTGGTAAGGGTAGAATTTTTGTCTTCCATGCAGGAGACCCGGGTTCAACTTCTGGCCAATGCACCTCATGTGCAGCCACCACATGTCTGTCAGTGGAGGCTTGTCTGTTATGATGCTGAACAGGTTTCAGCAGAGCTTCTAGACTAAGACAAACTAGGAGGAACGGCCTGGTGATCTATTTCCAAAAATCAGCCAGTGAAAACTCTATGGATCACAATGGTCCAATCTCATTGTTTGTGGTGTTGCCATGAGTCAGGAGCATTTGCTGAATGAAAGAGCAAGTGAGCAATGATTATCAGCTCTTGTAAGGTACTGTGCCGGGGGCTATAGATGTGCAGAATGATCAGGGTTTGATCCATGTCTTTAATACATGGCATGATGTAGAATTAAAGGAGGACATCAATGAAAGCTGTAATAGAGGTGTAATAAATATGCTACAGGTGTAAAAAAGTAGGGACACTCACAGAAGGGCATTTGCACTAGGTTTTACAAGTAGGTATGGATTGAATTGTCTCCCCAAAAGATACATTGAAGTCCTGACCCTAGTACCTGTTAATGTAACTTTGTTTGGAAGTAGGGTCTTTGAAAATGTTATCAATTAAGATAACATGAGGTCACTCTAGAGTACCCATTGCCCATTGCTGTGGAGTCGATTTCAACTCATAGCAACCCTATAAGACAGAGTAGAATTGGGTTTCCAAGCTTGTAAATCTTTACAGTAGCAGATTGCCACATCTTTCTCCCGAGGAGCGGCTGGTGGGTTTGAATCACTGACCTTTTGGTTAGCAGCTGTCAAAGAAGAAAATCTAGTACTCTGTTAGGAGTGAAAGAAAAGAAGTTTTATTGAGAAATAATACAGCTCAAGCTGGGCAGCACTAAGTAAAAATACAAAGCACTCCACCATTCAAGTGGAGAACCAAAAAATACCCAAACCCGTTACCGTCGAGTCGACTCATAGCGACCCTATAGGGCAGAGAAGAACTGCCCCATAGAGTTTCCAAGAAGTGCCTGGTGGATTCAAACTGCTGACCTTTTGGTTAGCAGCCATAGCTCTCAACCACTACGCCACCAGGGTTTCCTTCAAGCAGAGAGAGGGGTTTATATACATAGAGAACAAAGGAAAGGTAGGAGGTTAATGATTGGTTATAGACAAGTTCAGCTTCAGCTTGAAGTCCTTTGAAATGTAAAGGCTGGCCACTTGGCTAGGAGTGAGTGAGTTACCACCTAGGTGAGTGGCGCCAGCCATTTCAGTTATACATGATTGCGGTCATGAACATGTTTTTCCGGGGAACAAATTGTTTACATCTTGATATATTCTTCCCATGAACAAACGGTTTACATTCTGACCTTTTGTTTCCTGGGAATGCATGTTGGTCCTGTCATTCTCATGTCTGACACGAGCACCTCCAGTTTGAAATTTTTTGCTTACATTTCCCCCTTTTGATTAAGCCTCTGCTGGGGGGCGCTGATCACCCACAATGGAGTAGCCTTTCTTCTGTAAGGACTTTGTTTTCTTGAGGAGCTTTGGTTAATAAAAATTATTTTCTTCACCTTGCTGAGCTAATAGTCCTCATCTTCAGGGTGAGTAGTTTTTATGGGGAACATCTTAATGGACAAGGCCACATATGAGGACCATTTCTCAGTCAGGACAGAATGATAGAGGTCAAGATGAAACATACCCAGGGAGACAAAAGGGAGGTTATTAAACAACACGATCATTGGTGAAAGCCTGTGAAACCAGCATGATTTTATGTGAAGGGTCAAATGGCTTTGAAGTACAGTATTTCATGGATAAAATGTATTGAACTAAAGCAAAACAGCATTTTATAATTACATAATAGAAACGATGATGAATATAAAGATACCAAAATAGAGTAGCAATTTTTTCTACCATCCATCCCAAGAGGAGAACCAATTACTTATAATATCAGTTAAAGAAGGAACAGGAAGGTTAAGGTGAGATGTTACACATTGCATATGATTAATATAGAGTGTAATATTAGCACTATTGTCAAGAATGTAGACATAGCAATTAGATTTTACTATGGCACAGGTACCTCCTTGAGCTGCAGTGAGAATGTCAAGGGCCATTCTGGAGTACTACTTTTATCATCATTGCTATTTTGGTATTGATCTCTTGAAGCCCATGGGCACTGTCATTTAGGGCAATTTGTATAAATTTGATTAATATTGCTATATGTGCTATAACAGCTTCAAGTTCTATCTGATATTTGAATACTGCCATTAAATGTTCTA